TGACTACCACGGGGGCACGATCTGTCCTGCCCCCCAGGTGCGGTCCATGGCATCAAAATAGGGGCAGGGGTCTGGGTCTGCCCCTTGTTGGGAGCCGCCCCCTGTGACCCTGGCATACACCTGCCACAGCTCCTTTATTTTCATGTGAACCTGCTCCTGGGTTCGCATATGGCCTTTGGTGGCCAGCTGGCAGCCAATCGCCCATAGACAGTTGCGTTCCTCCATTTAGTGCGGAGATCATGGACGTTGGAGGCATCCCCCCAAACCTGAATTAGTTCCCTGATCTCCGCACTGGACCAGGTAGGTGCCTGCCTTTTCCAGCCCCTGGCAGGCTCCTGGGAGCTAGCAGACTGGTCCTGGAGGGCTGGCTGGCACTGGCTGGCTCGACTGCTGGCTCTGGGCTGGCAAAAGTCTACCCCTTTAAGGGCTCCGGGGGAGGAGGGGAAGAGAGGGAGAGGAGTTTTCTTGGTTGTGCCCAGAGTAGCCACCAGGGCATCCTGGGAAGGGCTGGAGGCCCCCTATTTCGAAATTGGTGCTATTCCTTGTGGAATGAGGTTTACCAATTTCGAAATAAGCCCTCCGTTATTTTTATTTAATTTCGAAAAAGCAGTTTGGCTGTGTAGACGCTGGTAAAGTTATTTCAAAATAATGGCTGTTATTTCAAAATAATTTTCCTGTGTAGACATACCCCTTCTGTGCCCACACAAACCAGCACATGCAGATGCTGCAAAACAGGCACTAACATCTTCCAGTAATCTGCTTAGGAGCAGTTTCTTTGCATATATTGTGTATGCAGGAGGAGACTATCTGTGCACTTTAGTACACATGTTCATATCTACATACTGGTTTCATTTCCCATGTGGCCATTCCCTCTCCCCAATAATGTCAACTTGCAGAATGCTCTCTCCATGCATTTCTGGGTGGGGGCAGAATCTAGGCCAGGGTTTGGCAATAAGCCGCCCACGGACTGGCTGTGGTTTTCCAGGTTTAGCCCCTAGAGGGCTGCCAGCACTTCATGGAGGTTAGGTTCATCCATGGCTATTAGCCAGGATGGGCAGGAATGGTGTCCCTAGCCTCTGTTTATCAGAGGGTGGACATGGGTGACAGGAGAGGAATCACTTGATGATTCCCTGTTCCGTTCACTCCCTCTGGGGCATCTGGCATTGGCCACTGTCGGCAGGCAGGACACTGGGCTAGATGGACCTTTGGTCTGACCCAGTATGGCTCTTATATTCTTATTTACCTGCACATCTGTGGCCAACGGGAGCTACAAGTGGCCGGACCCATGGAGGTATAAGTAAATAAAGCACCGGCAGCCTGTCAGAGGCTAAATCTGGTGGATCACCTCCAGCTTATTGTGCACCCTAGATCTGGGCTGTCTCCAGTTCACCAGCATGCCTGTTGTCAACCAGAATTTGGCCCCTGGAAGCAGCAGTCAGAAAAGTGGCTGTGTAGCTCATGCCAGCCCTAAAGTTAATGCTTTGCATGTGGAGTTAAAAAGTTTGAAAGACAAGCAAAACAATAGTCTAGAGTGCAGAATACATGCATTCTATCAAATCCGATTCATCAAGATAACGGTTATTAGAATTTTTTCTGTTGTCTGAATGAAATTGTAAGCTTAAAATGTCTCTGATGATTTATTAATCTGATACTATATCTGATAAGGGCAAAGGAGAGGTCATTTAGGGAGCAGATTATTAGAAGAAAAGTGTGTGTGTCTGTGAATGAGAAAGACAGACAATATGAATTTATCTGTGAGTATTCTATAAAAATAATGCAGGCCACATAAAGCAATACTGAAATTATTCATTGTATCACAGAATCTCACCAGTTAAAATGTTTCATTTAAGTTTGATCACTGTGCAGAAAAAATATTGATGCCTTCCAAAAGAGGGAATAGGCTGAGTTTTCAAAATGTTAGCTGAGGAACGATGCTTCATTGATAAATCTTTCCAGAGCAGACATTAAATATGTGATATTAAGTTTACTTTGTGTTATTGGAGGAATTTTCAGACATAAATAAAAACTGCAGCAATATGAGTATTGCTAAACAAAGCAGTCTCAGTACAAGTTATTTTGGTCTTATGCGGCAAATCCTTCAGTCTCCATGGAAGGAAAACTTGCACTGATTTCAAATTGAGTTTTGTCTGCAGAAAGGAAAGTACTGCAGGAGTTGGTCTTTTGTGTTGAGTTGAATAAATATCAGGGGTACCCGTACAGTGCAAGTTATGGCTATAGGCGTCAGGACCGCGATTCCACACAACTTCAAGCCTATGAATAGTCTTAATGGGAATGCTCTGGTGCATTTAAAAATGTTGGTATGCACTGATTTCAAATTGAGTTTTGTCTGCAGAAAGGAAAGTACTGCAGGAGTTGGTCTTTTGTGTTGAGTTGAATAAATATCAGGGGTACCCGTACAGTGCAAGTTATGGCTATAGGCGTCAGGACCGCGATTCCACACAACTTCAAGCCTATGAATAGTCTTAATGGGAATGCTCTGGTGCATTTAAAAATGTTGGTAACTT